GTTTCACAAAAGGTTGACAGATTGATTCAGAACAATCGTTGTATCACTCAGAGAGAAATTCCAAGCATAAACGGCATTTCACAAGAACGTGTGGGTCATATTATTGCTTTGCTTGGCTATTGGAAGATCTGTGCATGATGGGTTTCAGAAACAGAGTGTCGACTTCTTCCGTGACGGCTTCAGAAAACTTGTTCATCGTTGGCAGAAATGTATCCAATTGTCTGGTGATTATGTTGAAAAGTGAATAGTGGTAGTTAAAGAGCAAATTCTAAGGATTATTTCTGCATTTGATTTATTACAATATTCCCATCCAAACCCAAGTAACGAAGGTAGAGGCATTACTTTTCATTCAACCCTCGTATGTTTAAATGCTCACTCAATCTCCTGACACCAAAGTGGTGGCATAAATACCTGCCAACTGAGGCAGCAAACTGTGGCTCTGATTGTGGACCATCAAGACATATCTCAAATAAAAATTGTTAAACCTTTAAGGTGCCGCTAGACTATTTGTTGTTGGTTTTTCAGTCGAGAGACTAACAGATCTACCTTTCGGAAAATCATTGCATTCAGTAGGATTTACTCTATTGTTCAAGGCCTGTTGGAATAGCAAGCAGCCTTAAATTCCACATTCTCTACTACTCCCAGGGACATTCTCTTCTCAGGAATTAAGGGTTAAACCTGGGACCATTGGAGGAGTTTCACATTCTTGAGTTTTGGGGACAAACAAGGAAGTGGAGTGGAAAGGATGGGGGCTGGGAGCTAAAGCACTTGGACTCTCTTATAGGCTGTGCTATGGTCTCTTCTTCTTCAAAACAGAGCCTGGAAAGGTTATTCGTTAGCCTATAATGCCCAGCATTCTCTGAATGGTTTACTGTGGGATTTGGGTACATGAGACTGCAGTCTCGAAATCAGAAGAAGGCTAGGCTTGGAAGAGATCGTTTCAATGGGGGAAGATACTATTTGCAGCCTCTCCGTGTTTGCATGTTGGTTTTTTGTATATCAGAAAGAAACATTATTTGTATACAAAGATACATCGCTGAATACTAAAATTTGAATTTTCTATGTCATTGTAATACCCATTTCTATTTATGGTTGTGAAAGCTGGAGAGTAAAGAAAGTCTAAAGGTAAAAGATACATCGCTGAATATTAAAATTTGAATTTTCCATGTCATTGTAATACCCATTTCTATTTATGGTTGTGAAAGCTGGAGAGTAAAGCATTAAGTGGACATTAAGTCCAGTCATGTCTGACTCTGGGGGTTGGTGCTCACCTCCATTTCTAAGCCAAAGAGCCGGCGTTGTCCGTAGACACCTCCAAGGTCATGTGGCCAGCATGACTGCATGAAGCGCCATTACCTTCTTGCCGGAGCGGTACCTATTGATCTACTCACATTTGCATGTTTTCGAACTACTAGGTTGGCAGAAGCTGGGGCTAACAATGGGAGCTCACCCTGTACCACAGATTTGAACCGCTGACTTTTGGTCAGCAAGTTCTGAAGCTTAGTGGTTTAACCCACTGCGCTACTGCAGGCTCATAAACACTTCCAAAGTGTTTAGGGAAAAAATCAACTCATTTGAATCTATGGATACAATGGACACTTATGAAACAAATAAATCGAGCAAATCAAGCCTTAACTCTGCATTAGAAGCAAAGATGACTAAACTGGGACTGTCATACTTTGGAAATAACGTAAGAACACAGAGGTCATTAGAAAGAAAGCACGTGGCAAGGTAGAAGGAAGTAGTAAAAGAGGAAGATCATAATACAGGTGGATAGACTCAACCAAGGAAGCCACACAGTCATGATTCAGCAAGACCTGAACAAGGCTGTTGATGATAGGGTGGCTAATGATGCATCTACACTGTAGAAGATCCAACTTACAAACAACTCATAGTTAAGAATGGGGTGAGAAAACAGGGAGTGAAATCTATCTCTAGGAAGATAGATCCTAGAGATAGAGTTATCATGGGGAAAGCTTTAGCACCAATTCTTGTTTCCTCTGTGATATCCCTGAATTGGCTGTTGCTGTGTGAAGGATTTGCTGTTGCTGGGTGGAGTGGCCCTCTGTAATATCACTGGATTGGCAGTTGCTATGTGTAGGATTAGCTGTTTCTAGGTGAACTGGCCCTCTGTGATGTCATTGGGTTGCCTGTTGCTAGTTGAAGGATTTGCTGTTGCTGGGTGAAGTGCCCTTTTTGATATCACCATTTTTGTTCTGGGTGAGGTGGCCCTCTGTGATATCACTGGATTGGCTGTTGCTGGGTGAAGGATTGTCTGTTGCTCGGTAAAGTGGTCTTCTGTGATATCACTAGATTCGCTGTTGCTGGCTGAAGTGGCCCTCTGTGATATCGCTGGATTGTCTGTTGCTGAGTGAAGTGGCCTTCTCTGATATCACTAGATTGGCTGTTGCTCAGCGAAGGATTCACTGTTGCTAGGTGAAGTGACCCTGTGATATCACTGGATTGACTGTTGCTCAGTGAAGGATTGGCTGTTGCTAGGTGAAGTGGCCCTGTGACATCACTGGATTGACTGTTGTTTAGTGAAGGATTCACTGTTGCTAGGTGAAGTGGTCCTGTGATATCACTGGATTGACTGTTGCTCAGTGAAGGATTCACTGTTGCTAGGTGAAGTGGCCCTGTGACATCACTGGATTGACTGTTGTTTAGTGAAGGATTCACTGTTGCTAGGTGAAGTGGTCCTGTGATATCACTGGATTGACTGTTGCTCAGTGAAGGATTTGCTGTTGCTAGGTGAAGTGGTCCTGTGATATCACTGGATTAACTATTGCTGGGTGAAGGATTCACTGTTGCTAGGTGAAGTGACCCTGTGATATCACTGGATTGACTGTTGCTCAGTGAAGGATTTGCTGTTGCTAGGTGAAGTGGTCCTGTGATATCACTGGATTAACTATTGCTGGGTGAAGGATTCACTGCTGCTAGGTGAAGTGGCCCTGTGATACCACTGGATTAACTATTGCTGGGTGAAGGATTCGCTGTTGCTAGGTGAAGTGGCCCTGTGATACCACTGGATTAACTATTGCTGGGTGAAGGATTCGCTGTTGCTAGGTGAAGTGGCCCTGTGATACCACTGGATTAACTATTGCTGGGTGAAGGATTCGCTGTTGCTAGGTGAAGTGGCCCTGTGATACCACTGGATTAACTATTGCTGGGTGAAGGATTCGCTGTTGCTAGGTGAAGTGGCCCTGTGATACCACTGGATTAACTATTGCTGGGTGAAGGATTCGCTGTTGCTAGGTGAAGTGGCCCTGTGATACCACTGGATTAACTATTGCTGGGTGAAGGATTCGCTGTTGCTAGGTGAAGTGGCCCTGTGATACCACTGGATTAACTATTGCTGGGTGAAGGATTCGCTGTTGCTAGGTGAAGTGGCCCTGTGATACCACTGGATTAACTATTGCTGGGTGAAGGATTCGCTGTTGCTAGGTGAAGTGGCCCTGTGATACCACTGGATTAACTATTGCTGGGTGAAGGATTCGCTGTTGCTAGGTGAAGTGGCCCTGTGATATCACTGGGTTGACTGTTGTGCAGTGAAGGATTCGCTGTTGCTAGATGAAGTGGCCCTGTGATACCACTGGATTAACTATTGCTGGGTGAAGGATTCGCTGTTGCTAGGTGAAGTGGCCCTGTGATACCACTGGATTAACTATTGCTGGGTGAAGGATTCGCTGTTGCTAGGTGAAGTGGCCCTGTGATACCACTGGATTAACTATTGCTGGGTGAAGGATTCGCTGTTGCTAGGTGAAGTGGCCCTGTGATATCACTGGGTTGACTGTTGTGCAGTGAAGGATTCGCTGTTGCTAGATGAAGTGGCCCTGTGATACCACTGGATTAACTATTGCTGGGTGAAGGAATCGCTGTTGCTAGGTGAAGTGGCCCTGTGATATCACTGGATTGATTGTTGCTCAGTGAAGGATTCACTGTTGCTAAGTGAAGCGGCTGTGTTATACCATGGGATTGGCTGTTGCTCAGTGAAGGATTCACTGTTGCTAGGTGAAGTGGCTCTGTGACATCACTGGATTAGTTGTTGCTGACTGAAGGATTCACTGTCGTTAGGTGAAGTGGCCCTGTTATACCACGGGATTGGCTGTTGCTTGGTGAAGGATTCACTGTTGCTAGGTGAAGTATCCCTGTGATATCACTGGATTGACAGTTGCTCTGTGAAGGATTGGCTGTTGCTAGGTGAAGTGGCCCTGTGACATCACTGGATTGACTGTTGCTCAGTGAAGGATTGGCTGTTGCTGGGTTAAGTGGCCCTCTATTGTGTCATTGGGAAAGAAAGGAAGAAAGGAAGGAAGGAAGGAGTGAAAGGAAGGGAAGCGGGAGGGGGGAAAAGAGGTAAAGAAGGGAAAAAAAGAAGAAAAGGGAAAGGGTAAAAGAGGAAGGAAGGAAGAAAGAAGGGAAGAAAAGGGAAGGAAAAGAAGGAATGAAGGGAAGGAGAAAGAAGGGAAGAGAAAGGAATGAAAGAAAAGAAAGAAAAAAGGAGGAAGGTGCAGGAGGAAAAGCAAGGGAAGAAGGAAAGAAGAGAGGGAGAAGGAGTATAAGGGGAAAAGGAAGGGAAGAAAGAGCCACAAAGAATGCCTTCACTGTTGCCTTGGACTCCTTGTGATGTGGACCTTCTCAGAGCTGGAGAAGGGAGAAAGTTAGTCGAGCCTTGGTCTCAATGATAACTGGGCATGGCCAGCCAGAGAGTCTTAGGGATGCTTAATTGGATAGTTGATTTATGTGCATGTCCATTCCATATGCCAGTATTTATTAGGGTGACACTGGAAAGGTGGGTTTCCTCAAACTCTGGCCACCTTTGTGCCACTTCTCTGTGACCCCCCCCCCCCCTTTCCCTCTTTCTCCTTTCGCTCCCCCTTCCTCCTGTTTCCTGTCCCAAGGCGCCAGTTTCACCTGCCGGTGACGTCACCTCGGGGGAGGGAGGGGTGGGGTGTGGTTTGGGAGAGGGAGGGGGTATAAGAGCCAAGCCCCGATGGAGAGCGGCATCTTCGCACCGGACGTCTCGACGCGCGCTTCCCTCTGCAGTTGAATCTACCCTCTTTGGGTTTTATTTTCCTCCAGCGTCCAGGTAAGAAAAGAGCTTCCAGGGCTGGAGGGATCAAGGCAAAGCCTTGGGCACTTTTAATGCCTTCTCATCTTAGAGTTGTATGTGTTTAAATAGATTTCACAGTCTTATTTATGTCATTTCATTTGAACTGTTAGCTACAGGTGTCTCTCTGCTGAGTTAATGCAGTTTGACATCACTTTAAAGCAGGCATGGGCAAATTTGGGCCCTCCGGATGTTTTGGACTTCAACTCCCACAATTCCTAACAGCCGGTAGGCTGTTAGGAATTGTGGGAGTTGAAGTCCAAAACACCTGAAGGGCCCAAGTTTGCCCATGCCTGTTTTAATGCCATGTCTCTTTAGTTTTCTTTGCTAATTAATATCTAGGGACAGGTCCAGGGGTGCATCTACACTGTAGAATTAACTCAGTTTGATACCCCTTTAAGTGCTTGATGATATGGAATCAAAGGTTTTTCTCTCCCTTTTCAATCAGGTCAGGGGTGCATCTACACTCTTGAATTAACTCGGTTTGATACCCCTTTAAGTGCTTGATGATACGGAATCAAAAAGTTTTAGTTGCTTTGCTTTCACCACATTATAAATCCCAAGATTTCATAGCCTTGATCCCATGGCGGTTAAAGGAACATCGAACTGTGTTAATTCTATAGTGTAGATGCACCCCTGTGTTATAGCCCTTAGTAGAGGTAAATAACTATTATTTATTTATTTATTTATTTATCTATTTGAAACACAACAAGATTATTACACAGCAAACAAGATCACTATGCTGGCTGTTGTATTGGATCACACATTGGATATTATTATTATTATTATTATTATTATTATTATTATTATTATTATTATTATTGAAAATTGGGGCACTGATATCACCTTACTGTGGGATTTAGCAGAGAACAACACCTATTTCCTACCTTCTTCCCAATACTATTATTATTATTATTATTATTATTATTATTATTATTGAGACAAAAGCACAGTATGTCACAGCAAACGAGATCTCTATGCTGGATTTTGTATCACAAAATCACAAGTCGAACACTTCCCAAGCGTTTAGGACTGTGTGATTTATTATTATTATTATTATTATTATTATTATTATTATTATTATTATTGGAAATTGGGGCATTGATGTCACCTTTCCATGGAACTGAGAAGAGAACCGCACCTGTTTCCTAACTCCTTCCCATGTGCTTCAATGCTCTCCTGCCTGGAAGACTGGCATGAAAAGAAATCCCACCTAAACATATTAGAAAGAACTTCTTTAAGATTTCTTTGATAGTAAAATAGGCTAGGAATGGAGCAGGAACTTGTCTGTGTGAGCTTCAAAATGGACATCTTTCTGTATTACTTTAGTTAGGTCAGATTTGAACTAAATGGCCCTTGGAATTCCTTCTAACATTAAGATACTAAGCATATGAAGAGTATTGCCGAAAGCTTTCATGTCCGGAATCACTGGGTTGTAGTTAGTTTTCCGGGTTGTATGGCATTGTTCCAGAAGCATTCTCTCCTGATATTTTGCCTGCATCTATGGCTGCATCCTCAGAGGTTGTGAGGTCTGTTAGAAACTAGGAAAATTGGGTTTATATATCTGTGGAATGTCCAGGGTGAGAGAAAGTACTGTTGTCTGTTTGAGGTAGATGTGAATGTTGCAATTGGCCACCTTGATTAGCATGATTAGCCCCCAGGCAGTAAGAAGCCAGACCTTGAAACTGCTAGGCCATTAAATGCAAATTAAACTGGCCAATGGCAACATTCACATCTGCCTCCAACAGACAAGAGTTCTTTCTCCCACCCTGGACATTCCACAGATATACAAACCCCATTTTTTCTAGTTTCCAACAGACCTCACAACCTCTGAGGATGCCTGCCATAGATGCAGGCAAAATGTCAGGAGAGAATGCTTCTGGGACATGGCCATATGCAGTGCCTTAAACATATTGGGATGGTGCTGTAGAGAGGTGAATGCTATTGCTTTCTGGCCTCCCTTTCCTTGGGAAGTTGGAAAGAAAAAGATAAACATTAGGTTCTAAAGTTGTTTTTGGGGAAAATAATGTTAGTACTTGTTTGCTTTATGGAGGCATTGAATGCTTGTCTGTCTGGCTGAGAGGAAAAAGGAAAAGGCCTGAGGCTGTTAGGAATTGTGGGAGTTGAAGTCCAAAACACCTGGAAGGCCCAAGTTTGCCCATGCCTGCACTAAAGGGAGGATTGGAATTAACAGTTGAAAAGAAGATTGAAAGTCACTTCTCTTTCTTTCTCTTTCCTGTTCACTTTTTTTCCTCTGTTCTTTTGTTGTTGCTCAAAGTATTGCCGTGGTAAGAAACTTGGAAGTTGTAAATAAAATTAGAACTAATAAGAAATTACTATCTTGAGCAGTATAATAGCCCGCCTGATTTCCTCCCCTGGGAACTTCAAAGGCGAAGCTCAAGTGACGGTCTTAGGACCCCACCTTTTCACTCCACCATAAAAGAAAGAAAACCATCCCTTGTCTGGTCCAAGCAGGTTTTGGTTGAGAGTGGCTCACCCCATAGAAACTCCCCCGCCCCCTTCCCCCCTCTGGTGGGGGAGTTTCGGTTGAAGAAGGGTGAGGGAAGGGCTGTCTTTGCCCCAATCCCAGCCTAAGCTTTTGTTCCCTGGAGCCAAGATTCCCCTCCTGACCACATGTTTCTTTGTCCTGGAGATTTGAAAGCCTGGCATAGGATGGAGGGAGGGGTTTTAGTGGGAGGTTTTGCTCCTTAAGGGCCAAACTTCCTCCTCAGTGATATTTGGGGTGATGTTTTGGAAAGCAGCCACCTTGCAACAGGTGAATTCATTTCCACCTGAATTTATTTTCACCTGTGTCTGGCATGGCTTCTTGTGGACTGAAACCTTTACAGTAGAGGCCCAACTTTAGGGTCAGCTCTGGTTGCTACCTGAATGGAAGATCACCATCAAATCCTCTTAACTTGTGGGTTCAGACTCCTTAGTTCACTGGTTCTCAACCTTCCTAATGGTGCAATCCCTTAATACATTTTCTCTGGTTGTGGTGACCCCCAACCATAACATTACTTTCGTTGCTACTTCATAACTAATTTTGCTACTGTTACGAATTGTAATGTAAATATCTGATATGCAGGATATATTTTCATTCATTGGACCAAATTTGGCACAGGTACCCGATACGCCCACATTCGAATACTGACGGGGTTTTTTGTCATTTGGGAGTTGTAGTTGTTGGGATTTATCATTCATCTACAATCAAAGAGCATTCTGAACTCCACCAACGATGAAATTGAACAAAACTTGGCACACAGAATTCCCATGACCGACAGAAAATATTGTAAGGGTTTGGTAGGCATTGCTCTTGAGTTTAGGTGTTGTAGTTCACCTGCATCCAGACAGCACTGTGGACTCAAACAATGATGGAGCTGGACGAAACTTGGCACAAATCCTCAATGTGCCCAAATGTGAACACTGGTGGCATTTGGGGAAAATAGACCTTGACATTTGGGGGTTGTATTTGCTGGGCTTTATAGTTCCCCTACAATCAAAGCGCACTCTGAACCCCACCAATGATAGAATTGAGCCAAACTTCCCACACAGAACCCGCATGACCGACAGAAAATACTGTGTTTTTGATGGTCTTTGGCGACCCTACTGATACCACCTCACGACACCCAGGTTGAGAAACGCTGCCTTATCTCAATGTTGGGATCATGAAAAAGGTTTCTGGATGTCAGTTACCTAGACATTTACACGAATCTGTTGGCCACAATATACAGGAGAGGTCCTCAAATCTTTTAAGCAGATGACCAATTCACTATCATATGAACCAATTCCTGTGCACACTGCACATATCTTATTTGTAGTGCAAGAAAACATGAAAGAACGATGCAGTATTAAAAATGAAGGGTTGTTTTAACCAACATAAACTTACCAGTATTTCAGCGAGAAGTATGGACCTGCTTTTGGCTAATGAGACAGTCAAGTTAATTAGGGTTGTTGTTGTTCTGTGCCTTCAAGTCCTTTTGGACTTAGGGTAAGTCTAAAGTGTAGAGCACAGATCTCGGAGGGCCAGATGTGGCCCACAGGCCTTAGTTTGGCGACCCCTGGTATATAGCATTTACAGTGGACTCTACAGGAAATGCTTCAGCTGTACTTTACAAAAGGAAAAACAGCCTGTTTAGCAAGCCTTCTGTAAAGATCCCTTACCTTTCCAGCCTGGATGGCAGGGCCTAGGAGAAACAGGCCAGTTAGTTGCAGCTTTAGAAGGCCTGGCAGAGGGCAGCAGGAGCCATTTTAGTTCAGGGAAAACACCATTTTAGAGAGGGGGAGTGTCCTAGGCCTGAGTTAGCATTAGAACAGCCAGGATTGGTTCAGAAAGGGGGCGGAGTTTAGCAAGGTTTGGAGGGAAAGAAAGAGGGCTTTTTCAGTGAGTCTGTTGTTGTTAGAGATTAGAGTAGGAAGGTAGTTTAGGAGTTCGTGTTTAAGATTAGTTAAGAGAAGGCAGTTTACCTTAGGTTTGCCAGCAAAAGAAGCTGTAGCAAACTGGGACAGCTATCAGGGAAAGATAGCTGGTTTGTAGTTAGCTAGGCCACAGTTCAGGGTAGCTAGGCTACAGTTGTATCTTGACAGAGATTCAGTTCATGTCAAGTGTGCTTGGTTTTAAAGAGAAGAAAATCTCTGTTTTTTGTAACAAAGAAAGAGCCATTTACATGTAACCATTACGCTTTAAAGACAAGAACTAACATTTCTCTGTAACAGCAAGATTCTTAACAGCACTTACTTTCTCTTATAAGTTATCAATAAACTTTCCTTGATATTTTAAAACTTAAGAAGCCTGAGTCCAGTGTGCCTTTGTGGCTATAGTCCCTTTTCAGTCAACCTCAACTAGTTTTCCTTTAAAGAAGCAAATAATAAAATACAGTGATTGGTGGTCTCAAAAGCCTTTTTAATATTTGAACAGCCAGGGTGTTCCTGTACCTTTTCAGTGTTGGTGGCAGCGGACGTTAACTAGAGAGACATCC